CCCTCCAACTTTCCATCTTCCCTCCATCATTCCCCTCTACCCTACTTCCCCTCCCCCTCTACCACTCCTGCTTTTATTACATTCTAATAAGATTCATAAGAAATGATGAAAGGATAAAATTCTAAAGGATAATACTAAAAATGTACATTCTATATAGATACAGAAAAGTCATTATTAAGATTTGGCCCCAAACAAGAGTTCAGATTATCATTCATTTTAAATATTTGAATAATCTTATGCTTGTGATGTTTTCTTAGGTAATAAACTGAATTTTACAGGATTTATGTAGGCATAAACTAGCAAGAAAATTAGCAATCTAGTCTCTGACGCCTAGATCTAATTCCGTAAAGAGTCGGATGCCACCCCTCCTCTGCCTTTGTGGGCATAGCTGGGAGATTTGCAGACCAAGAAGCATGTCAGCCATTGGATGGTACCAGCCCACTAGTAATGAGGCCACGGAGATGCTGCTGCTACCACCCAGAATGTTCGGCCCCTCCTCCTTCCCTCACTCTGAGAGTTTGGGTGAAATTGGACTTGGAAATCTGCCACCTACACCCCCATTCTAAACTCATGGGCCATAAAAACAGATGGCACTCCATTGAGTTCAGTAGTAGCAGTGAACATTAAGTGAAATATGATAAAATTTGGGGCTTGAAGTAGTAATGTAATATAGTAAAATTTTATGTTAAAATTAGGCATCATAAAATAGGCCTGCTATTTATAGTCTTCATTTTCCTGTTCTACATTTCCTATAATTCAGCTGTTTAAATGCAATTCATTCATCAATATTCATATGTTAAGGCAGTTAATATAAAAGACCACTCTTTCGAGATGCAAAAAGTAAATTAAAGGGCAATGAATGCAAACAAAAATGATATATGTTATAGGAGTATGACAGCTGTATTTGGATCCTTAAAAAAAAAAAACCTAACATTTGCATGGCCAGTATATTTCAATATATAAAAGGAATTAGTTTCATTAGAGCATATGGTTATTAAATTAGTAGATTAAGTAGCAAATTCATCCATTTTTAATGTCCTGATTACATAAATAAGACTATATAAATCTAAAATGTTGTTGCTAGACCTATTGCAGTACTTCACACTCCTTAAAAGCAAGTATAAGCAAGATGAATAACAAAAAGACCAAAAATATGCTATCCTTTGGTGGGCGGGGTGGAATCCAACTTAAATATCTGTCTTCCATTCCAACAATTCAAATAAATGAATACTTTTTTATAATATTCAACATTCTTCATTAGATGAATAATAGGGAGTTCTTATCAATGCTTTTCTTGCTTAAAAAAAAATAAAACTTCTTTCTTGATTAGTGTTGGCTTTGTAATCTAGCACTAAATATGCCAAAAATGCTTGGATCTGATAACCATGGTTAAAAAGGAGAAAACAGGAGTCCTATAAAATTATTTCTGGGAAAGATAGATTTCCTGTTCTGTCCCATTTCAGATTACACGAGTCATCTCCATATTCTCTACTGCAAACGTATGAGAGGATTCTGACAGATTGGTGTTGATGATTATATACATGAACCCTGCCTCTTCCCAATTATAACTTATTTGGATGTTGCATCCATTAGAATGGTAGATATCTGGTAAACTTAGAACATCTCCATGGAATCAATTATTGTATGATAGATTTTAAAAAAATCCTTAACCCATTGGTCAAGCTATTACAATATCAGGTGGCATTTCCTCCATGAGACACTAAAATATATCAAAACTGGACATGGCCTGGCAATGGTAAAAATAGACTTATTGTTTAGACAATTTCTGGATCAATATAAGACCAGTTTGTGGCTTCTCTGCCAAGATGGTGATTATCTTATTGTCCAAGTGCAAGATAAAAGGCAGTCTGTGTGGCATAGAATTTGTCAGAAAATAGTCTTTGCTCTGGCCGTTCCATAGTAAGAACTGTCTGCAAATCTAGGCTTGTCTTCCACAATCTATTCTAAGTATACTTTCAGCCAGTCCTCAATTAGCCTGTAAGTGCTGGGAGTAATCGGAGTGCAGAGAAAGAGTAACAGTGGCAACAGGGGAGCCATAGCTTTAAAAATAGTTTACAACTGATCATCCATTTGCTTCAATTGAAGTAGTTTCATTACTTTTCTCTGCAGAGAACAACTTGTTGGCAAAGTCCCTTTTTTATTTCCTAGGCAGCCTGAAATAGCAGATCTGTTTGGCTTCTCATTTGTGCTGAAAAAAACAAAAACCAAAACTTCAACTGTAGTATTTGTGACTACAGGGTTTCATCCAGATCAGGATTCTCTGGTGGTGTGAATGTAGACAGCTTGGCTACGTGTTCTGTGTATTATGGCAGCTAATGCCATCTAGGGCATTAAATTATGGGCAGCCATTGTACAACTAGTTGACATGGCTAAAGTAAGCCCAGCAAAAGTTGAAAAGAAACTAAACAATGACAAGTTAATAGGGTGAATAAGAAAAGCAAGGTCTCAAGGCTGTACAAGGGATAAACATGTAGATGGGGTAAATTGAGTGGAAGATCAACAACAGGACAGCTTGCCAGGCTCTTTTGAGAAACTGGAGTAAGCAGTCACACTGCATCAGGCCCCGGAATAGTGCTGACAAACTTATGGGTAAGCAAAATCAGTCAGTCAGGAACAATGCAATTTGTCTGTGTGACTATAGAAAATCACAGTATCTTTGCCAGGAGATACTGCTCTATGAAGTGTGTAAGATAAGGTATAATTATATAGAGATGGAAAAATGAAACAGTCTTAGAATGTTACCCAGAAACACCATAGCAATACTCAAGAAATCAGCATTGTTGTCATAAGGTGCTATCCATAGCTTAAACACTAAATAATGACAGAATAAGAGACGATCCTACCCATGAAAGTGGATAAAACAGATAAAGAACAAACATTTGAGGGCCAGTCACCATGAAGACAATTTTATTTCAAAACAGCTGAGCAACAGCAGGGCTCCTTGTTTTCTTCTTCTTCAAAAGCCATTTGATCAGTGTGAATCTCTGTGTGAGAGAGAATGAATAGGGAACATCTATAATGCTTTAAGCATCAGATCACCTCTTACAAAGAACTATGAACAGGGAACATTCACTACACTAGCTCCTATATAGTTATTTTCTCTCTGTGTGTATGTGTACACACACAAAAAAACCACGCACACACACATAGATATATGTGTGTTTGATATGTGTGTGTATGTGTACACAGAGAGAAAGTTTTATGAGTATACTTTAATCATAAAATTGTAACGTATTTGATGTTGTTAATGATATTTGTCTTGCCTAATATTTATTGATTCCCAAAACAGACCCAATCCTTCAGTTTCAGGGAATAAACCAGTTAAATTTCGATGTTTTGAAATTCTGAAAGCTTCTCAAACCTAGATATGTGATCAGGCCTGAGGCTGCCACATAACCAGAGATTTATCTAGACGGCTCTATTGCTAAGGGTGCCATATTTTTTCCCCTTCACTTAGGGTTTGGTATTTTGGGTTTTTAGAAGATTTATTGTTAAGGGTTTTTATGTTTGCATTTGCTGTTTTTATATTTTTTGCTTTATCCATTATTGTGAACCATCCGAAATCACCTATAGTGAGATGAGTGGCTATATACCCTTGATTGTTTAATAAATAAATACATAAAATTATGAATCTTCCCGAGCTGGAAAATATCAACCTGATTGTTTCTGAATATGTTAGTGAAAGTTATAGCTTGTGGTGATCTTAGTGTAATTCTATATTATCATTCACTAGATCTACACCTATTAGAGTAACAGATATATGAGTTAGTTTCTAAGAAATACACAGTCCATAAACAAACAAACAAATAAATAAAGAAGGCAATAAGAATTGCAATAAAAACAGCACTAAATATCGATAGACTTACACGTTGTATGATCTTTACTTGGCATTTAATTTATACTTTGTCGCTCTTTCTGTAACCCTGTGTGGCACACCAATTTTCAACAAACTTAGGATAGAAAAAATGCTCTGTTCTAAGTGATTTTTTTTCTTTATTCAAATTCAGCCTTGTTTTTAGCTGTTTTACTGGTTCCCTCTCCGCAGTTGAAGTAGCTTTGCATTCTGCAGAGTTCTAGGGTTAACATTCCATGCAGGAGGCAGCTGCTGTTATCTGCTTCTATGGATAAAACGTCAACAGATCACTTTAGAGTATAAGTCAGCCAACAGGGGAGCATCCTCCATAGCAGTCATAATGGCTCAGAATCAAAGATGCAGGGATTCCAGCTGTCTGCAAACTGTATTTTGGAAAATGATATTTTTGAATCTTAATCCCATATTCAATGCCTTACACTTGCAGTTTTCCTATTATACTTAATCTTGAATTGATCCCTATAGGTGAACAAAAATAAATACAAAGGATACCCCCTAAAATTTATAATGTAATGCTCATGAGTTTATTCTCCAGGAAATCACATCAACCCCTAGTGGAACCAATTCAGTTTATATGTTGACTAAACATAAGCAAGACTTTTTATGCAAACCAATATTTAGATATATTTCATTTATTCGAAAGTATGAATGTGATAAGTGATTTACCAAAGCTGCAAAACCTGTATAATACTCTTGAAGACAATATGTCTTGGTATTATTTGGATCTTTGATGGCCTATATATATGTTCTGACCTAGGCTTCCCCAAAAAGCACGAAGCAGATTCCTGGTCCTGGCAAAACCCCTTTTATTAAATGAATGTGAATTTCTGTCATTCACATTCAGCAAAGGCCTGCTAAACAGTCTTTCAAAGGTGTAGTTATGACCACAGACCTTATCTAGCTTGGAAAGCTGCCATGTAAATATTTTCTAAATGTAGTGCTGTGCAAGGAAAGACTTGGCACAGAGTCTCTGAGATTCTTGGACAGATCTTCACACTCCTGAAACGAATGAACAAACGAATGAATTGTTTCCTGCAAAAGACCATTCCCCTTTCACTCCTCTTTTATTTCTATCGGAGGGGCCATTCACCATCCACCTGTGGCTTTACTCCCAAGTCAACCCTGATTTCTTACCTGTTCTTTTCTGCTGGCAGCTCTGCGCATGCGCACTCTGGGAACAGGCTCCAGCTGTTCCTTTCCCTCACTGCTGTCTAGCTCTGAATGCAGCTGAGAACTGCCAGACAACCTTGGCTCCATCTCTGCCTCTGACGCAGAGCCCTCGTCTGAGCCTTCCCAGACCTCCAGGACTGGCTCATGTTCTTCCCCAACCTCCTCTCTGTCCAACTTAGATTGCTAAGAGCTACAAGCCCATTTCCCCTAGCCAATAAATGGGACAGGAAGCCCTCACTGAGTGGCTGTTAAGTCCTCTTTGAAGTTAACAGATAAACTGTCATGTAATGATACATAAAATGCTTCTGGTTAACTCTGGAATACTTGAGAATATGAACTGCAGAAATCAACCCAGTTTAGCATCTATTTTATATTCACAGGAGTGATGGGAGAATATGAGCCAAAAATCGAAGTGCAATTCCCAGAAACGGTTCCATCTGCCAAAGGAACAACTGTGAGGCTGGAGTGTTTTGCATTGGGAAAGTAAGTTTTTGCCAACCACACAGTGGTACCGAAATTATTTTCAGACAGTTACACAGTCTACCAAATTGGGAGAATTCTGTTTGACACCATTTATGTTTGCTCCAGGAACTTTTCAACAAATTGCTCATTTTCCAGTGCTATACAAATTGTCACTTCAAACTGTATCATCTTCCTGGAATCAAATTAAAGATCTACCTGCTTTATTACATCTAATCCATCAACCATTTAATCTAATAACAAAAGTTATTGAGGTATGATACTTTTCTAGATAGGCCACACAAACCAACTCAAAATATTATCTAAATTGGATGCAGAAAATAAATCTTGAGGACCTAATGAATTATATGCTAAAAATAACTTTGCAGAATTCCACGGCAATGAGAAAATTCAGTGTCAGGAATTAGCATGAAAGTGATTTATTATAAGGGAACTTTATTGCTGTTGTATTTGTCTACAATACAGACCTGGCATATTGTGTCCCATTCTTATAAATCAATTCAGAATGTCTCCTTTCATGATTATGCTTGGTGGATCTGTGACCTGTAATTTAAAAAAAAGACAAATTCAGTGTACTCTATTACTTGCTAATAAAAACAGAGGAGATTGGTATTTTTGTAGCCTGTCATTGAGCTCCTAGACATGTCATCTGGTCAAACACATGATATTTAGTTTAATTTCTACATACTTAATGAAATTTAAAGTATATTTAATCACAGTAATCTGTTTATACGTCTATTTATACATTTTGAAATAAAATTAGGTGAAATCAAGTTTTTATTAAAATTTAAATTAATCATTGGTGACTTAGTATCATTGTTATAAGTAGGTCTATTCTAAGTAGAGTCTATTATATTAAAAATAGCCAATTTTATGACAGGAATAAAACTTATAAGTACTTGTTTTCAATGGAAATGATACTTTTGTCATATTTCTACAAGTGTTTAGCCCTACTCCTAGTCATCAGTTTGCCCAACTCTGAAATACCAGGTATGTTCCATCATATCCCACACTTATTACTATATTTCAAATTTGTCTCTTAGCAAGGTTGCATTTATATTTTGTAGCCTGCCTTTAGTTTCTTATTAGAGAAGCTTGTCCATGTTTTATAGGTTACAGGTTTCAAATAAGTCAAATGATGGATTAGGGATAGGTTTTAGGAAAATACTTCTGTTTGAAAAAAGCTAATAGTCCAAATATATCATATTTCTGTTTATTGGAAAAGTGTGATTATAGAAATGTTTAATTAATTATATATGTTGCCAGTAAGAACAAAATCCATGCAGAATTGTTTATGTATTGGACAGAAGACCTTCTCACATAAATGCCAGAAAAGTATAGGCTCAAAGACAAGGGTGAAATTCAGCAGGTTCTGACAGGTTCTGGAGAACTGGTAGTGGAAATTTTGAGTAGTTTGGAGAACCGGCATATACACTTCTGGCTGGCCCCAGAGTGGGGTGGGAATGGAGATTGTGAAATATCCTTCCCCTGTAGTGGGGTGGAAATGATGATTACAGTATCCTTCCCCTGCCACACCCACCAAACCATGCCCACAGAACCGGTAGTAGAAAATTTTGAATTTCACCACTGCTCACAGGATATGCCCTGTGGACACACCACTAAATATTTTGAGCTTTATGATTATAGGCAAAAATCCATATTAAGATATATGCCAAAAGTGATCAGCATTGCATGACAATAAGTGTAACCAATAATAGCCTAGGTATAAACATGACTAATTAGAGATGTAGATCAGATTTTCCTAATATGGCGCCTTCAAGATGCTTTGGTATTCCCAGATTTTCCACTCAATATAATTAGAATTGGGAAGATCTGACTTAAGTTTTGATGATCATATAATGGTTTTTTTGTCTAGAAATTGTTAATATATAATATGTCTGTCATCTAAAATTACAAAGCCTTTACCATCATATTTTTTCCCTTTATTGTTCATAAATAGCCCAGTTCCTACAATCAGCTGGAGAAGAACAGACGGAAAGCAAATCCCTAAAAAAGCTCGGAGACACAAATCAAGCAGCATTCTCGAAATCCCCAACTTTCAGCAGGAAGATGCTGGCATGTACGAATGCGTAGCTGAAAATGTGAGAGGAAAGAACGTGGCCAGAGGCCAACTAACATTTTATGGTACCCAGATTATTTATTTACCTGATTTTCATTATAGCTGAGGCCAAAATGCGGTAAATGCTTTGTTGCAATGTCAGTGTTGATATTTCTCTTCACATTTTGTATTGCAAATAGGTTTGCTCAGCAAGTGTAATTTTACATAAAATAAAAACCTCTGAGACAGGCATATTGATTGAGGCTATGAAGTGTGGAAGAAGTAAAAACGTATGTCATGAGACAGAGATTGGCCTAGTAGTAAAAAAAAAAATCAAAATGCTATTGTAAAGCAATTTATTCTGTTTTTCTTCATCATCTGTTAGAAAACAGACTGTTTTGAATAATCTTGGCAGTTCTGCCTTTAAACAAAATTAGAACTGCTTGTTTCTTTCATTGCTCAAGTCATTGTTTCTAACTGATCTTTCATTGGTACCAGCTCATACCAAGAGCCAAATGTCCCCCTTACACCTTCTATTAACCAAGTACTTGTTATGGTAAAAAGCTAATAATGAGCTCTATATCTGTCTTAAAATTATGGTGGAATTCATTTCTGCAGTCCAAGATGTTATAAGATGCTTGTGACACTAACACACAAATGTTTGTATTATGAAAATAAATTAAGGATAAGAACAGGCAATTGTTTTATGCCTTAAAGCTAGACATGTTTCATCTCTCCCAGCTAAAAATGGCATTAGAAGGTATTCCATGACCTGAATCTAAAAAGGAAAGAACTATATATGTTTTTAGCCTATTGAAGCTTAGCATACCTATTTTATCTCTAATTTTAAAGAAAAGTTGCCCAAACTGTTGGATAGCCAATAGCTTTATATATAAAAAATAATGAAACAAAAAGAAAACAGCCAGGAATATTTTTTTTAAAGGGAATTTTGAGGTTGGTGCCTGTGTGAAAAATGGGCATGCTTTATTTTGGAAATAGTTTAAGCGTATCTATAGCTAAGTGCCTCCTTCCATTAGGAGCAAGTCAGATAAGTATCTGAAATACACAGGTTAGAATAAAAGAAAGAGAAAGAAAACTAAACCAAGGAAAAAACTAATAGAAAATGTGGAAATGTCTAACTGACCAACATGAGGCCTGTTACATACAGAAATGCAAAGTTTACTTTAGAGGAAAGGAAATAAGAGCATTAAGTCCCTCTACTAGAAGTTTTCAACTTCCACTATTCGAAATCTGTGGATTTATAGGCACAGAAAAGTGTGTGGTTGAAATCCAAAGAAAGATTTTTTTTGCTAAAATTGGGCAATGCAATTTCAGAAGTTCCAGGACCACAAAAACAAAACCCAAACTAGATGTGCCTGAAAAAATAAGGAATTTTCTCATGCAATTTTTGCACTGTTTTTTTTTTAATCTGATACATACTTGTTTTCAAGTGAAATTCCCATTGGACTCCAGTGGAGGATTGTTTTGACAAGCGAAGAACATTAGAAATGCTCTAGGAGCAGAACTACAGCTTCAACTTGATAGAATCATAATCAGGAAATACCTACCAGTATGTATACCTGTCAGATTTGCAATCCACTTAAATAATGGGTTGATAACATTCATAGATAGCTTGAAAACCAAACCAAAGAGTGCTCGGAAACTTCTCCTTATACAATCAGAGTAAAATGTTAAAAGCAATATTGTAAGATTCATTTCTGGATCCAATGCTCTTCAACATTTCATTAATGACTAATAATCACAAAGTGAGGGGGAGAACTCAAACATATAGGATGGGGAATATCTGGTTTGTTAACAATTTGAAGGATTGGAATTGATCTGAACCTTAATTTGAGTTATTAGAAATGCTGCAGTTGCAAAAAGGTAAATACAGTTTTAGCCTGCGTCAATAGATGTATACTTTCCAAATCAGAGAAACTAACAGTTTTATTCTTTTTTGCATTGATCAGATTAAATATTCAGGCCAACTGCGGCAAAAAAGACCTCTCCACCATTCTAGCTTCCTTTTCCTCCTATTCTTAATTCAGAAGTCTTAATTTCAATGTTAATGAATGCCAAAAAGGAACTAATACTTTGCAAAATGCAAAATCTTGCCAGGAAGTGGAAGTGGGTCAAGTTAAAATAGACCCAAAAGAATAACATTTTAATACAAGATCAGTTTGGACCAATAAATAATTTTGTCACAGTTGGAATAGCAATGTTTATAACTTATACCAAGTTTAGTGTACTGGCAATGCAACCCTCCAGGTTCTTTTTTCTCATTAGTTTCACAGCCAGTCTTTTAGTTACCATCATTGAGAATATCTAGGAAAGCATCTCTTCGTTTATTGAGACTGCATGACATTGATCAAAGGCATCCATCATTATAGCAATTTTTTTCCAGCTTTGAATGCCTTCATGATTTCTTTCTCCATGGAAATTGCTCATTTTCAGCCATATGACTATTGTGCCAATTCTATGTCTCCAGCTCTGGATTAATTTTAGGCCTAGCACTGCTACTCACAAAGGTGCCACAAAGATTGTTTTTCTTCTCCAATATCTTCAGACTTAAAGATATTATGAAATCTGATCTTTCCCTAGAATATAAATGAGTTCCTGTCATATTCTAAAGTTTTACTTTTTCACCTTAGTATCATTTTTTTTTAAATAGTTGATGTGAATAACACAATTCTTTCATGCATGCCAAATTCCATCTTCTGTACTATAGTCATAAATAAATTACACTAACCCAATCTCTAGTTTTAGTCTACCTAAACTTAAGAGTCAGTGATAAAGATTTGTATTTCATCTAGAACTACAGTGGGAACTCTTATGAGTCCTATGGAAACAATTTGAGGTAATTCTGGAAGGCCTGGTCCTGAACTTTTGAAACTGTATCAGCCTTATTTTGAAGGACTGCAATTGTATACATTCCAAGGGGGGAAAAGGAACTGATTGCATCTCTAGCCAGAGCTTCAGAAAAGTCAAAGTAGCTCATTCTACATTCCTTTGGTGTGAATGTATGCATAATGAGAGTATTGAACATTATGAAGTATGACTGATATGGTGAAATTTTCTGTGAGCACAGTGTATATAAATTGAGACAGTGTGAAGCAATCAAGTACCATGAACAGAATGCTTTTTAGTATTTAATTTAGTAGCAGATCTGAAAGTAGAGAGATAGTAGTGTTATTTCAAAAACTGAAGTCTTGCTGGATTGTTGCCATAGTAAAAGATCCTTTACCTAAAAATTAAATATTTTTGCTCAAACATTTAATAAATGTTAATAAATAAAGGACAAGTGCAAAGAATCAGAGAAGAAAGAAGATAAGGAAAAGACTGAAGAAAAGCAATAAATCATTTTTGGCCCTGTTTTTCTTTTCTTTTTTTTCTTAATTTTTACAAGGAACTTTATACAGAACTGTATTCTAATGTTTTTTTCCCTAAACTTTTGCCCTTTTGGAAGAATTTTCCAGAAAAAAAAATATCTTTTTTTTTTGTATAAACATGCACCTGCCTAAACACAATTGGTCAATTAATTTTCCCTAAATTTCATATACTTGTAAGGATGACATAAAATATTGATTCAAGTCAAGGCATGATTAAGGTCATCACAGAAATCATACAATACTTATTAGTTGTCAGTCAGCAATCAGACATAAAACTTATTTTACTCTGTAGCTTTGCCCTTCCTCCTCCTTGCAGGCTAATGTTGAAATCTTTTTAATAGATCATGTTTGTTTTTAACAAACAAGAGGGACCAATGGCCCTTGGCTTTTCTTGATTGCAGGAGATTAAACAAATGGAATAAATAACCTGGCTTAATGGAGCCAAGTAAATAAGAAGAAAGTAGCAAACCCAAATATTTTCAAGCAGAATTGCTATAGTACACTAGCCAATTCCAAGGAAAACAGAAAAATAAATTGAATTGTGTGAGAGAGAGGCCATAGATGTAAAATAACAATTCAGTCCAAAATTAAGATAATAATAAAAAATGTAATGATCACATTAGTATATTTTATCTTTCTAGTATATTTTACATTATGAACAAAAGGTCTTAAACTTTTCTTTATGATATATTTTTCTTCCTGCTTGTATCTTCTAGCATGTGATAAAAAGCATTTTGAGTATTGTTAAGAGTAACCACAAACAGAACTATTAAAATGTGTTTTTGTTGTTTGAGAATTATTGCTATCCAACAAGAAATGTTGAAAACAGAGATGGACTTAAAATTATAGCTTCATGTTGATAAATTTTAATTTGCCAATTTGATATTCTTTTATCTGGTGAAATACAGATGGAATAATATAAAATATCCAGTTTCCTGGAGATCTCTGCTGGATATGTATGTATGTATGTATGTATGTATGTATGTATGTATGT